CCCTGCCCCCCTCCTCCTCCTTCTTCCCATTGTTCCCAGGTTCCTCTCTGTGGTGGACAGTCCCCCACTGGCCCTAGCTCTTTCCTTCTTTCCTGCCTTCATCAGGAACAATGGCAGGGCATGCCACCAGGTGCTGGGCCGTGGTCCCCAGAGGCCAGGCCTTCCCCACGTCTCCTGCCCGCCATCAGTCCCCACAGCCAGACCTGCTCCTAGGCCTCTGCCTCCCTTGCCCAGGAGAAGGAGAATCAGCAACACGTGGGATTCTCTGCCCAGTGATCAGAAAGGGGGAAATTAACCCAATTACTCAGCTCTAGTCTGGGCCGGACCCTGGATGAACTAGTAATCTGATAGCAAGTTTACAAAATTAGAGCATACTTGCAACCCTGGGGCCTAGGGATGTCTTCCTCTGGTGGGAGGTGTCACTGTGTATCAGGTGGCCTGTTTTAGTCTCTGTGCTCTGGCCACTAACGTGCTGTGTGATTTGGGGCAAGGCCTCTCTAGTCCCTGCTTCCTTCTCTGTAAAATGGTCTCTAAGTTCTCATACTCTAAGAGCTCTCTGTGCACCCGCTGTCTTCGTTCATTCATGTATGACTTGTTGGGTGTTTCAGCCCAGGTCCTCCACATTCAGAAGGAGAGTCAGATCACAGCACGCCCCTGACCAAAACCCTCCATGACCTCCTGTCCCATTTAGAGTAAGATCCTCACTCCTCACCTGGCCACAGGCCCTGCCTGATCTGGTGCCTGCTCTCTGACCAGTCAGTCCTCTAACCCCACCCACTCAGCACTGGGATCCACCTACGGGGCCTGGGCCTCCCTCCAGAGCACCAAACCTTTGTTTGCCTCGGGGGTCTTTGCACTTGCCAGACCCTCTGCTTGGAATGCTTTCCCCAGTTTGCTCCAAGACTGGCTCCTTCTTACCCCACAGGTCTCAGATCAAATGTTGCCTCCTCCAAGAAGTCCTCCCTGACCACTCTACCTATATCCCCAACTCCACCCCACCTCAAGTCTCCCTCTCATCACCCTAGGATTTAAAAAAACCTTTTAAGTAAAATGTAATATCCACACACATGCCCATGTGTCATAGGTGTATAGATGATGGATTTCCACAGACCAAACACACCCATGAAACCAGCACCCACATCAAGAAGCAAAGCATGACACATGGAGGGGGTTGGTGAAGGACCGTGGCATGAAAGCCTGCAGGACATTGCCTATTCTATTCTAGGCCCAGCATTTGGGGACCGTTGTGATGGAGACAGAGCTGGACCAGCATCAGTCCTACCCCAGGAGCTCAAGGGGCATAGGGGAGCACAGGGAAGGAGGAAATGAGTGGGGGACACACAGTGCTAGGGGCAGAGGTCGTGGGGCAGAGCGGGAGGGCCGAGCTCTGAGCTGGGCCTGCAGGACTCAGCAATTGTGAGCACACCTTGTGGGGTGGGCCCTGGTTGTGAGGAGACCCCCTGTGGGCCCCAGGCAGGCAGAGCTGGAGGGGCAGTGGGGGACATGGGCTGGAAAGTGCATTCACTAGGATGGGGGGGATGGCCTAGAGAAGGCGGGAGGGCGCATGGAGCCAGGGGAGGGGGCAGTGCTGAGACGGGCGGAGGGGACGCTGTCCCTCTCCTTGGCTGAGCACCCCCGGTGTCCAGGCCCAGGGCCAGGACTGTCACAAGAATCGACTCCTCCAACCCCTATGGCCCCCTATGAGGTGGGGGGCAGGGCCCCATTGACACCGGAGGGAACTGAGGGGCCTCCCGTCTACCCCATGTGGCTCTGTCTAATAGCATCTCCAAGGACCTGCACTCGGGACCCACCCAAGAGGAAGCAGTCATGGCTGGGAGAGGGTTGCAGGTTGGGGACATTTAGTTTTCTTTTCTAAAAACAATCTCTTGGCTATTGTTAGGACAGTGGAAAAATAACACTTCCATAGATCATTTTTCACCACTGATGTGGCCAGTGTTTGCCCCGGTGGGATAATTCCCCCACAGAGAGATCACAGGTGGCTGAGTCACCGGGCCGCGCTGTTCTGGGCTCCTGCCTCACAGTCCCTGCCAAGGCCGCCCGGGCCCTCCCGGAGCGCCACGCTCTGTGGTGCTGGGAAGATCGCAGAGAGGATGTGCCCAGCGGTCCTGGACAGCCCCCAGGATTCGCAGGGTCCGGGAAGCAGGGGACAGCGGGGCCACGGCGGGGACAGGCCTGGCTCAGGAGCCCCCTTGGAGCTGCATCCCCTCCCCCCACAGAACCTGCCATGGGCATGTGTGGTGGGGAGGTCGGGGCGGGTTGGGAGGCTTTCCAGCTTCCGTGGAGCACCATTTGACTCTTTAAGTATTACTTGGATATATATGCAAATTAAACACCAAAAGACAAACACTTTTGCAAATTTGACAGGTGCCAAGTGCTTCATGTGTGCGTGGACCGGCACTCCCTTCCTCCCCCGTGAGGATGAGCCTCACCCGGTGTGTGTTCTCGGAACTCGGCGTGTGCGGCCAGGGAGGTGAGACGGTTGGAGCCTGGCACTGGGGAGCACGCAGATCCGATCTGGGTCCTGCTCTGTCAGTTACTGTGTGACCTCATGCCAGTGACATAAGGTCTATTTCTCTCGCCTGCGAACTGGATATTAACTCTCACCTCGCAGGCTGCTCGAGGGTTAACTAGAAAATTCCGGTAAAGCATCTGCCATGTACGGGAGCCAATGTTAGCTCAGGAATGAAAGGACTCGGATTCTACCAGAGCGAGCAGCTGTAAACGGGGTAGTGGGACTGGGGGTGGGGGGTGCAGGGCCCACACAGGGTACACAGGGGACCTGCTGTCCGCAGGCCCGGTGGCCAGGGCACCCGGCGGCCGGATCTCCAGGTGTTGGCCTTCCCCGAGCCTCCTGTGTGATCCACTACGGTTACAGGCAGTTCTCCAGGGTCTTCCCAGAACATTCACCCACTTTTCAGAGGAGCAACGCCCCCATTCCCTTGCACTCAGATTTGGGGTTATCTCTTTCATTATGTTTCATATCCTAGCAACAGGATCGAGAGTCCAAGAACTGAACTCTACGTCAGAAACCATTTTCCTGGGAACTTTGAAGGCAGGGTCTGCTGGCCTCTTGCTCATGGAGTTACTGGAGAGAATCCTGTGCATTTCCGACCATGGTCTTTGTGACCGTTACCCCTGCTCTGGAAACTCCCGGCGTGACTTTTCTCAAGTACCGGAGTACCTGAGTGTTGGCACGTAAAGATGCGGGGAGGCTGTGTTCCTGTGTGGATCTGTTTGCTTTTTCTCCATTGTGCTGGATGCCAGTAAACTCTTCCAATCTGGAAATTTCGGTGCTTCCGTCTGAGATGCATCCTCTCTGCTTGATGGTCTTCTCTGTTCCCTCTGATCTTTCCAGGTCTCCTGGTTTTCGGATGTTGGATTTATGGAGCATTGTAATAGGAAGAAGTTTTGCTTTTGATGTAGGCACATCTATTAACTTTTTTTCCCCTACAGATTTTGCTGTTGATTTCATCTTTAAAGTATTCTTCCCAACCCCCAAATTATATAACCAGGTCCATTTTTAATGTTGGTGAGAGTAATTTCATAATAAGGCTCGTGCTGTTTTCATTCAACTCAGCTCCACTGCAGGCAACACACGTGAGTTTTCGTCGGGTGAATCAAGGCGAGAAACAATCTATTGATTAAAAAAAGAAAAAGAGAAACAGCCCATGTAATCTATTTTATCCAGGATTTTATTACCAGCAAAGATTCTGTTTTCCTTTTTTTCTTCTTTTAAAGATTTTATTAAGTAATCTTTACACGCAGCGTGGGGCTCGAACTCATGACCCCGAGATCCAGTCACATGCTCCCCCGACTGAGCCAGCCAGGAACTCTGAGATTCTGGTTTTTAAATGTTGAAACAAGTATTTTCTTTACAAAAGTTAATAAAATTCATGGGAAAAAATGTTGAAGGATAAATGAGCAGAAAGAGTCCCAGGCCCTCAGTAAATGCAACAGAAAAGCCTAAGAAGTTTTCAAATTATTTCCAGACACAGGGATATGGGACACCCATTGCTGAAGGGATGGCAGGACAGAGAAGGAAAGCAGCGGAGGTGATGAGCGGCTGGAGTGCATGGGCCGCGAGAGGCGGGAGCGGGACCAGGGGGGCCAGGTTCGTGCCAGGCTCAGGCTGGGTGTGCGGCTCACGTGCAGAGCTGCTTGGATTCGCAGGCAACAGTCTCCTCCCGCGGTCCTGGTGGGTGCCGGCCCGTGAGACCAGGCCCGGTCCTCTGGGGGCTGCTGGGCTTGGGGTGGAGGCCAGAGGGACTGGACTCAGCCTGGCCCCTGGCCCCTGGCACTTGCCAGGCGCTCGTGAACGGAAGCCTCCGCGAATCCCTGGTGAAGGGGAAGGGGCCTATTTCCCACGCATCTAGCTGCCCGAGGAAACAGCTCCAGAAGGAGGAGATGCAACACAATGGCCCCTTTGATGACAGCAGTCCAAACTGGCCATCTGGGGGGACAGGGCGCGCAGCGGCCAGGGACCCAGGTGCCGCAGGCAGGCCCGGCCGGGCCCCGACACCCCCACATCTGGGGCCTTCGGCAGATGACATGGCCTGTGGGTGCTGCAGTTCTCCACTGGTACACCGAGGATAGTGATGACCTCTACTTCACCTTGGGAGCAGGACACTTGAGACATTGCAGATGGGGCGTTGGGCCAGCACATGGGACTCGGTGCATGTTTGATGTCACATTTGACCTCTGTCTAATGACCATTCTCACTGCCCAGGGGGCTGCTGGCCAGGCAGCGGCCGGCCGATGGCTCAGAACTCTGCAGGTGGATAGCCGCCGGGACTCCCATGCTGTTGTCCCTCTCGGCATGGGGCAGGCCACCCTCCCAAGGCCCGGGTAGTTGGCAGGGAAGGTGCTGTGCTTCAGAGATGGTGACAAATTGAGAACACCCAGTGCCTGTCCCACGGAGGGGGCTTTTAGGGCATCCTTGTTTAGCAATCTGCCCCCTACACCGGAATTTAGAATTACTTCTGCAACTCTTGCAATGTACTGGGGTGGGAGAGACCCACCAAAAAAAGTGCCTTTGATTTGGCAATACCTATCTCTCTGCCCAAGTTACAGACACACATGCCCGGGACGGCAAGCCCGGTGCTGGATCTGATCCCACCGATGTACTCACCCTCGTGCACGGAGGATGGTCACAGCGAGAGCCTGCTGCTTAGAATACATGAGTGGGTAAAACAAAGGTTTCCTCCCCTCTTGCAGTTCACGATCCGGTGTGTGCACCCCATGCTAAGAAGCCATTAAATGCTGTGACAGATCCACAAGCAAGGATGTGGAGCCATGTCCAAGCTACGCTGTCAAGGGAAAAAAGCCAGGTTCAGACAGAGCGGATGTGTGTCGTCCTGGGAGGATTCGTGAGAGCCTGAGGCAGAAACGGCCCCTGGGGAGGAGCACCGAGGGGCCGGGACGACCCGCTTTGGGAGGAAGAGTTACTTTTCACTGTGTGTAGAGTATGTTTACCCTGTGCTTGCCTGACCCAAAAAACGCAAAGTAAAGCCAAACACTAGAACATAAGGCTTTTGGTTTGCCACACGTGTCTTCAGACGATTTATTCCACTAACCAGAGATTTTCAACCCGGGCACTAGAGACGGTCGCCCTGGGTAATCCCTCGCGGTGGGGCTGCCCGTGCCCTGTGGGAGGTTCAGCGACATCCCTGGCCTCTACCCACCGGATGTCCGTGGCACCTCCCCCTTGGCTGTGACAACCAAAAATGTCTCCAGACATTGCAAAATTCCACGGAGGTGAAATCACCCCTGGCTGAGAACAACCGCCCAAGAAAACCCGTGAAGTGGGGAGTGGGGATCAGCGTCTCCGTTAGTCGGATACGACGGTTGAGGCCCAGAGTTTTTATTAAATTTTTAAAAATTGTGTGCCTCATTTTGTCACTGTTACCTATTCATTTGTAATCTTAAATAGACAACGCTCTGTTCTGCTTGCTACCTTTTAAGCAACCTATCAACATATGCGTGGATGTATAGAAGCAGAATACTTCTAGTTTCTGATTTAGTTTGATGAGTTTCTGATCATGTTTTAGCTAAGTTAAATCTCACTGGGAATGTTGGGCTGCGTGGCACAGTGATCATTTAAAACATAAAATAATCTGTCAAGGTTTGGGAGGGGGACTCTAATTGGACGTTCTGAACAATTACATCAAACATGCTGAAGTATCATCTCTCTTGCTTTGTTCAAAATGTACTCTTTGCTCCCCAAATTTGGAGTTGGACTTGTTTTTCCGGTTGGGTGATTATGCACGTCCCGAGGGCAGGACGGAGCTCATCATGCCTTTGTACCGCGAGCTGTCCAGCCTGGTTTGTGAGGAGGTGCACACAGGATAAAGGTCAGGACCCGGGACTGCAGCGGAAGCAGGTGGACCTGAAAACACACACTCTCTCCAAGAGGCCTCGAATCGGTGTGGGCCTTGGTGGCTGGCCACAGGCGCGAGGCTCGCAGGTCATGGAGTTGGCCGGGGAGGGCTGTGTGTCCCCTCGCCCGATCCTCTTCGTCTCTTGGGTGTACTGTGCTGGGGGCTGGATCACGAAGGCAAGTAAGACCCGACGCTGCATCTCACAGTGGGTGGGGCTCGCAGACCCACGAGCAGACCACAGGCCCTCCGTGTGATGGGTGCCATGCCTGGCGGGGCAACGGGTGTTCTGGGAGCCCTGAGAAGGGAAAGGGAGGCTGCCCGTGAGCGCTGACACGTTCAGCGTCTGCAAGGACAAATCTCAGGTGTACCAGGTCTACGCCCACCTTTTGCCTTCACAGCACATGGCTGGCCCTCATCACTCCGGTGGCTCCACTCAAAGGGCCCATCTTCAGATGCCTTCCCTGACCACCCTCCAGTCTCCCAGCTTTATTCCCCTGCAGCCCCTCTCAACCGTGGGTCTTGTTTCAATGTCTGTCGCTGTGCCCATGGTCTGGGGTCCTCTTCCGGAGTGAGCGCCCCTGACAACGGACACTGTGTCCATGTCGTTCGCTACATCTGCAGGGTGAGGAGGCGATGGGCCAGGCCAAGGAGGGTGGAGTGCTGGAGTGGGGTGGGGGGCATCTCTAGAATGCTCAGGGCCGGTCAAGATGAGGACTGAGCAGGGTCCAGGGGCTCAGGCACCAAAACGGAGGCTGGAGGAGAGGTGAGCCTGGGGAACCAACAGGAGGGGAGAGGTCCAGACACGCCCTGGAGAAGGGGGACTGAGAAGGGGAGCAGAGGGGCAGGGTGGAAGCCTTTGTCTCAAACCGCTGAGTGCCCGTCACAGATGCTTGGTGCACCGGGTGAGGGGTGTGTGGCTGGATGTGCGTGCATTGTCCCTGCATTGGGGGTGAGGGGGGGATGGAAGGTGGCTGGGTGGGAGCTAGGGGTCGAGCAGCGAATGTAGCTAGGAGGGGCTGGTAGGTGGGCAGAGGAAGAAGGTGACTCGGGACCAGAGGAAGAACACACACAACAGGATGAGGAGGGTGGTCAGGGGAGGGTGGGAAAGTCGACGGTCAGGTCTGAAGGGCACCTGGTCCCCAGGTTTCAGTCGTGGGGCAGTTGGGAGCTGGTGGCAGAGGTGGGATGAAAGGTCTCTGGAAATGAGGACGTCAAGGAACTCAGTGGCCAGGGCTTCCTGAGTCCCAGGAGGACAGCAGGAGCCGGAAGCGAGCTTCCAGGAATGAGGGACAGTGCCGGGGAGGTCTCAGCGAGGAGGTGTGTGGGCCTCAGAGGGCAGGGGCGGGAAGCTGACCACTGCCGAGCCCGGGAACTCGAGGAGGTCCCTGCGCAGGGCCAGGGTGAGCGAAGGCAGGAGTGTCCTGGGAGCGGGCTCCTGCGAGCACAGGAGGAAGTGCGGCGGCCACCGAGGACAGATGGCCGGCCCACGCCCGCGGGACCCCGCTTCGGCCGGCGCTAACCCAACGGCTGCGCAGGACGGAGACTGGACACTAGGGCTGCGGGACCCGCCTCGCGTGGGAGCCGCCGCCCACCGGTCAGGCCTCTCTCCTGAGCCGGCTTTGGAGCAGAGTCCACCTGGGGGTCCCCGGGAGGCCTCCGGACCCCTTTTCCTAGGGAGCCCGGCCGGTTCGGGGAAGGCCGACATTCCGGAAATTCCGGCTTCTAGGGGGGCTTGGAGGGTCGCGGCCCGAGGCCCGGCTCGGCTCCGCCGCCAGAGGACGCCCGCGGCCGGGCGGCCGG